CTGTACAAATATGTGACTTTTGGTCACTGATCTTACCAGTCCTTCTTTATTAATACATGAAGTACTGTACAAATATATGACTTTTGGTCACTGATCTTACCAGTCCTTCTTTATTAATACATGAAGTACTGTACAAATATGTGACTTTTGGTCACTGATCTTACCAGTCCTTCTTTATTAACACATGAATTACTGTACAAATATGTGACTTTTGGTCACTGATCTTACCAGTCCTTCTTTATTGATACATGAAGTACTGTACCAATTGTTACTTTTTGTCATTGATCTGACTAGCCCTTCTTTATCAATACATGATGTACTATAGGATAATTTGACTTTTGGTCACTGATCTTACCAGTCCTTTATTGATACATGAAGTACTGTAGGATAATTAGATTTTTGGTCACTGATCTTACCAGTTTTTTTTTAACTTATGAAGTACTCTATAAATATGTGACTTTTTATCACTGATCTTACCAGTCCTTCTTTATTGTACATGAAGTATTGTAAGAAAAAGTTATATTTGATCACTGATCTTGCCAGTCCTTCTTTATCATCTAACATATATAAAAGCTAGTGTGTGTCACATTATGCTTCATTTCTCGAAATAGGAGAACTAATAAAAGCCAAAATGCAGTTATCCAGATAGAATGGTTCGATTACTGTCTGCCCATTATGATTTTATTGACGGGGGTACAATGGGGCCATGAAAAGGTGTGCTGTGAAACCTTATAATTGTAGTGAGTGTTGGTATAATAAGCCTAAAGTAAAGACATAGTGTAAGATCACCTAGCCTAGAGTAAAATGAATAAAATTTATCTCTTGTTACAATGTGACTACTGAGGTCTGTCATTGGTATGGGACTTTATCTGTTGTTACATTGTAACTACTGGGGTCTGTCTTTGGTATGGGACTTTATCTGTTGTTATAATGTGACTGCTGAGGTCTGTCATTGGTATGGGACTTTATCTGTTGTTACAATGTGACTACTGAGGACTGTCTTTGGTATGGGACTTTATCTGTTGTTACAATGTAACTACTGAGGTCTGTCTTTGGTATGGACTTTATCTGTTGTTACATTGTAACTACTGGGGTCTGTCTTTGGTATGGGACTTTATCTGTTGTTACAATGTGACTACTGAGGTCTGTCATTGGTATGGGACTTTATCTGTTGTTACAATGTGACTACTGAGGACTGTCGTTGGTATGGGACTTTATCTGTTGTTACAATGTAACTACTGAGGTCTGTTGGTGGTATGGGACTTTACCTGTTGTTACAATGTAACTACTGAGGTTTGTCATTGGTATGGGACTTTACCTGTTGTTACAATGTAACTACTGAGGTATGTTGTTGGTATGGGATTTTCTACACCTTTGTATTTTTTATCTTATTAGGTAGGACATCCAACTTCCACAGGGATTTTCTATATTTTTGTATATTTTAACCATCTTCTGAGTATTTTCTGATTTATGTTTAAAAACATATCTTCAGTTTCTTTTTTTGTAGATTTAAAATTTTATATTAACAGCAATAGGCGTATTAACTTCTTATATATAAATGCAAGTGTGGTTAAGCTGCCTGAAAATATAATTATAAATTTTGTTGTTCATTTCTCATCACATATTGAAGTGTACAAGACATAAAAATTATAATGATAATATTTTACAACATACTAGGAGTGGCCCAAGGAATGATCACAGGAATGAGGGGGCTGTGTAATGGACTGGGTCCTGCTATTTTTGGATTTATCTTTTATCTCTCTGATGTGGACTTAAACAAAGAAGCCTATTTGAAACCTTTTGAGGCTCAGACGGGGGAAGCATCAAATTTTACTGGTGTGTCAAATCCTGAGGTGGTCATTGTTTAATTACTTTTAACGGTAGTCTAGTTTTTGTGTGTGTAAGTGATATTTGTGCTCACTCAAAACATAGACAGGAAAATCCTGTAAAACACACTTAACATGTTAGTCAAACAGCTTGAATCTAAATTCTTGAATTATAAATGATCTGTATATTTAAATATAAATGTAACAATTGATTGTTATATATACCTGTTTTTGTATTCAAACACTCAGTAAAATCCACTTATAAACACTGCTTTTGTAGCCAAATAGTCAGTAATGTATATCTACAGTAAAATCTGGGAACATAGAGCAATTAAAGAAGAAGTTGTATATTGGACTACAGTTGTTCAATATGTTCTCCTCCAGCATCAATACATTTCGTAAACACATCTCAACGAAGCAGTGTTGTTCTCCAATACAGCACACTTTTCATGTATGTGTTCAATAAGATGCTCCATGTTCCTAGTTTTCTCTGGAGATTTTATGTAACCTCAGAAAAAGAAATCCATAGGGGTAAGGTCTGGAGATCTTGGTGCCCATTCCACGTCATCCAATCCAACTATCACAAAAATTGTTATCTAGCCAATGATGAACCATTGCAGCATAGTGAGGTGGTGCTCCATCTTGTTGAAACCTCTGTGTCATACCTTTTCCGCTTTCATCCAGTTGTGGCATCAAATGATCACCTAACATCAGTAGGTAATTTTCTCCAATAACACTTTCAGTACAGAAAGATGGACCTAATACATGTGGTCACCAGAGACCGCACCAAACCAGTGTGGATTTTTCTGTGACCAGTATCTCACGTTTTGTTCGTTCACTTCACCACTAACATAAAAGTTTCCTTTCTCCCTAAAAAAGGCACAATTTTCACTCAACCTGTCATTTTCTTTGAAGTGTTCCATGAACCACTGATACATTTTGACACGATGATCTGGATCATTCTCTGACAATTTCTGCAAACCAACAAGATAGATCAACAGAATAACAGAAGATTTGATCAGAATATTTATTATGGAATAATTTTGAATCTTCAAATAACTGGGTCATGAGGATGAAAAAACACACGACTGGACATGAAGTAAAATATGAAATCAATAATTTTTATTAAAATACTAAACAAACATGGTGTTTTTACTTGCTTTGGATGCAGGGCTGTCACTTTTCTGGATTTTTCTTCTGACTACTCACTCTTCAAATGCACTACATTGTTTAAATTTAACATTCCTTAACTTGCAAGAAACGCCTCATTTATCCAGAGCAGCTAGTACTACCCACATGGTTGGACATTCTTATCAAACATAGGTGAGGTTGTAACCCTCAAAACACCACTTGTTCTAATGTTTAAGGACATTTCTGTCAACATTATTCCACAATGCAGCATTACCTCAATACTCCCATGAGCAGAACACGTATTATTGCCTAGAGAATGGGGAAAGAACAAAAGTAGAAAGAGTGGGATGAAGTTAAAAGCTATTTAAACCATGTTTTACGTGAAATCTGCTCATATACAGAGTAAATAATTAATTCAGAATAAGTACTATAATGTTGGAAGAAGATACAAATGCTTGATATATTTATATACCACAAAGGCAATCAGTATTACCTGTTTGAAAAAAGTTTTATATTCAAAGTAACCAGTGTTATCCATTTGGTATGATATGTCTTTGTACTTAAAGCAACCAATGTTATCTCTTTAAAACGTTCTTATCTGTTTGAAAACATTGCTTCTATATTGAAACCAATCACTGTTATCTGTATTTACTTCTTCCCCTGGTTGTACTTATAGCCTGCCTTTTTATATATCTCATACTGTATCTTGTACAGAAAGAATTTTAAGAGAGTTTTTAGAAAACTGCATGCTTTACTAAATATTTCAATCTGCATGATTAAAAATATTCTATCAAAACTAAACAAATCCTTTGGTACACTAAGTTTATATTGATTATGAACTTCATTTACTACTAATAATTTCACCTATTCATACATTTTATTCATAACAATCAAAATATCTTACTGAAAAACATTAGGCAATACTGTGCTTCCTCTCAGACATGGTGTGAGTTTCTTCATTACTTTTATCCTTCCATGAAAATTCAATACCTACTGAATATTTCAGTGTCAAAAATTGAACATTTTCTCAGCATATTAATGAAAATAATAGGTACATTGTATTTACCTAATAGGACAATAATCACATATAATTTCGTATTTCAAAGTATTCACAATCTGATCAAATCTTTGTTTCCATTCATGTGGGACCTAATAGCTGTAATATTCGTTTAATTGATTCAATTGTATTATTCAACACTCATAAGTGACTTTGCGTAACATTTCTATACATGAGACCATATACAAGTGATAGATTGCATGAGTGTATCAGCACTACATTCCTCAGTCTGAGCCAGTCTTGCTTCAGGGTAAGGAGTGCCCATGCTAGATGTGGATTATTCAATTGCTTTTCTGAAAGCTCCTGAATTGTTAGTTATTGCATCCATCCACTAATGGAATCTTCTACTATATGGCTTGTCATAATTACAGCAGAAATGGTCTCAACTCCCTCATGTTATCCAGAATCCATACACTTGATAAATGTATAGGGTCTCCCCATTTAGTGAGAGAGTCTGTCTGCAGTTCCATGTTGTGGGCTGTAGGCTGATTAATTCATACTCCTACAGTGCTCTTTTGTACATTACATTATCTCTTTAGTATTTATAAAGTTCATCAACTACTCAAGCAGTGCATGGTTCACTCAAACAGTGAATCTCCTATCATACAAATAGTGTTAAAAGTGCTTTATGAAGACAACAGCTGCAAGTAGATCATTTTTTTTTGCCATACAGTGTCTGTGTTCAGCAGCTGTGAATGTACAATTCGCATATGCAATTACCCATTCTGCTCCACTCTGCAACTTTCATAACACAGTTTCAATTCCATCATCACTGGAATTGTTTTCCAGTAGAAATTCACAATACTGTCATGGATTTGCCAATATCGGGTGTCTACTAAAGCACATATCAGGAAATGAAATGCTTGCTCACATTCATCACTATATTTGGAGTGCATATCTGCTTTATTAAGAACTTAAAATGACAAGGTGATATTGGAGAAGTCAGTTACATATTTTTGGTAGTATGGTATAAAACCAAGGAAATTGTGGACTTCTCATTTGGTCATCAGTTGAGGTCAATCTTGCACTGTTGCTAATTTAGCAAGAAACTCCATTTCCATGTGCATGAATGCACATATTCCACTTTTCCATTTCATCATCAACATAGATCAGGAACTTCTTTCATTGTAGCCCTTTCAGTGTAAGCTCACAAGTGGCAGGCTCATTTCACAGGCTGAATGGCATAATGTGAAACTCATACAAGCTACCTCTCATACTAAAAGCAGTCTAGGGTTTTGGCCTTGTTTTCAAGTTCAACTTGCCAATTTCCAGATGCCAGGTCTAATATATTAAACCAATGGGTCCTTTTCAATGCGTCCTAGCATTCACTTGATCATGGTAATGGAAAAGGGCCAATGTGAATTACTATGTTCACCCATATAAAATTAACATAGAAGCTGGGTATACCTTTTTCCTAACAATACTTACTGGAGCTGGCTAAGCACCCCCCTTAAAGCTGTATAATTCCAACCTTTAACATCCATTATATTTCAGCACTGGCTAAATCCCAAGTGCTATAAGGAAGCCTGTGCAGCAGTAGTTTAATCAGACGTGCATCAAAGTGTCTATGTGACATGGTATGACTGTGACTTTACTTAATCAGCCATCCAATACTAAAAATATTCTACCAACATGTCACTGAGTTGTTGCCACTGCATTCAGTATAAAGTGTCTGCACAATCTTCAACTAGCAATCTTGGGTGTGTTAGTATCTTATTATATACTTTTGGACACAGCATAACATATGCAACGGCTAACATCGTTACTTACACTTTTCTCACTGTGCTGATGACCATTTTAACTCACAGCTATGTGGTTAAACAATCATCCATAATTGCAGAACAAACTTTCCCCTCACCCTTATATAGATAACTGCCCAAGCTAATGCTGCCTGATTTATGTACAGGAAACAACTTATTTTATGCATGCACTCAGTAACTGGATTATATAGCACTGACACATCGGACATTGTCTGTAGTAAGCCATGGAAAACAACTTGTATTAATGGAGGTACTATGACTTCCTCTCCTATATATACTCATGCAGTTCACTGTTCCTAGGGTCAGTCTTGCCAACAGTGGAATATTCTACTATGGAACATCAGTTTACCAGTTGCACAGTCAAAACTAACCAATAAACTACACAGTACATCCATTCCAATGATACCAATGCTAGAACTAAGGTCAGCAACAACAACAACTTTTATTATGTAAGTGAAACCTCTTAGATATAATGGCTGTGTGAACTCTCCATTCATGTCTAGTTTATTTCCATTAACCTGAACAAGATTTGTTTTTACTGGCCTGAGTGATTGGTTCATTTCCTTGGAATGCTTAATACACCACAAGATCTACCATTGTTCTGTTTACTCCTGTATTAAAAAGAAACTAGATTTATCTCTTACCATTGTACTCTGACAATCACATCAAGACCCACCCAGCTGTAAGAGAGCTCGGCTAACTAATATACATTTCGGTGCAAGCTTTTAATTGAGTTCCCTTTTACATACATACCAGATCATCAAGGCAACTTAATAATGATTGTCTTGTATTCCCAGTGTTGCTCCTTATGTACATGCTGAAAGATGTCTAGGGTCAGACCATCAAGGCAACTCAGTAATAATTGTTTTGTATTCCCACTGTTGCTCTTTATGTTCATGCTCAAAGATGTCTAGGACCAGACCATCAAGGCAAAGAAGCCTACTCCACAGTCCAGCCATTACCTGCCTGAAACACTTCAGTTAAAAGTTCTATTGCTGTACCTATAAATATCAGTAGTAATCTGCTTCACATCATTCATAGGGAATTATGTTCACAACCAGATGCTCTTCTTTCTGACTGCTTGACCATCACCTAACTGATATTTCCTTGCCATTGTGGGCATTGCATGATAGGGACCCCAACACTGATGAGTAGAATGACTAGGCTCTCTAGGCAGCTTGCCTATTGGCTCTTCTCAACCCCAAGCATTGACATTATATCTCCTAGCTCAAAGAATCACACCACTGCCCCATGATCCAGTTACTTCATCATTCAGTGCATACCATCTCACATGCTGTGGTTAGGTAGCTCTAGTTGGTGAATGTTGTCCACCAATGGTGCCTCCAGCCTCTTTATGATATTCCTGACTTCATCCAATACTGGAGTTGAATTACTTTGATTGGCATAAGTTTCATAGTCTCATGCTGACTGCCTTACCTATTATAAGACTCACACCACAACAGTTATTTTAAAGTTCACGTTTCCTTCACATCAAGATTAGTTTTTACAGGAAGAGCATGAACCAGAAATTAAGAGTTTTACTTCCTTGGTTGTAAGTTGTAATGAGATGAAATTCACAGATCTTTTAAATCATTGGTGAAAGTCATACATCAAGGACAGAACTTCTAGACACAAAAATTCCCTCAAACATCAATCATCTCTCCTTGATAACCAACTCTCCTTGTTGTTCATACATCCTTCTAGTTATAAAAGATGCCATTTTCTTTAACTAAGAACATTTTAAACTTTCTGTACAACAGTTCAAGTAAATGATAGTACACATTTCAGCAGATGCATCAAATTACACAGTAACAATATCTGGTAGTCATAGCATCAAATTACACAGTAACAATATCTGGTAGTCATAGCATCAAATTACACAGTAACAATATCCAGTAGTCATAGCATCAAATTTTTCTCCCAACAATCCACTCTGTGGTATATCCAGGTGAAACTGAAATAATTTTCAAGCTGTATTGGATTGGTCCACTTAATAACAGAAGGTTTGGTCTAGATATTAATTATGACGTAATGATAAATTTCTTTCTATCAGAGTTAATGTAGAATGGAATATTAAGACTGGACACAAAGTGAAATAAAAAAGGAACAGTCTTATTAAACACAAATACAGTGTTTGTATTTTTTTATGGTATGATGGACTGTCATTTTTATATGATACTTTCAGTGGATTACTGTTCAAGATCCTTTTGCATGTGACTGGTCATACTCATTACAATACACATGTGGTAATAACCTCTAGATATCACCTGAACAACCACTGAAGGATATTGCTGTCAAAATTCTTGCACAATGTGGAGTATTCATTCTGGGCAGTAACAGGTATTATCTATTTTCAGAAGAACAAAGGAACATGGGTAGCTTAGATTGAAATCAGTTTAATAACTTTCTCAACCATGTGTTATGTGAAGCCTGCACATATACAGAACAAATAATACATACTTTTATATTACAAGAAGATAGAAATTCATTTGTAAACACTAGTTTTAAAGTACAAAGTGGAGGATATTTGCTGATTATCTAACTATAGGGAAAGCTGTGGTATATATTTGTTCAAAACTACTTTTTAAATGTAAGAAACAACTTTATCACTTGAGAAACATTTTTTTCTCCTTTGTTTCCATCCAGCTAGTCCCTGGACCACCTTTTGTACTTGGAGCTTGTCTTGTGATGATTGCTCTTCTAGTTACTGCTTTTATTCCAGAATCTCAACCATTCATCAACTCTGAACACTCTTCAACATATCAACAAACTTCAGCTCCATTGACAACCACTACCAGTGATTCTTGTCTCCACTACCAAAAACCCTTTTTGTAGTAATTCATTATAGCCTTTTAACATACATTAGGTCTGAATTATATTTGGAAGGGATAACATAAGAATTTGTAATGTACAATGAAATTATTATTAAATAAAATGTTCTAATATAAGTGGTCCTTCAACTTTTAAAATCAAAATCATTTATGTTAGTTCTACTTTTTCAAGAAAATTCGTTATATTATTAAACATACCATGGTGATGGACTTGAAAATATAAAAAAAAACGTAACTGACAAATCAGCTAAGTATTCCAATAACTCTGAAAAATTTGTAAAAGTTTTTATTTAAAAAAACGGTGCTAATAATTATGTAAACCATGCTATATAATATGACGGCTGAAGAGAGAAAATTAACCCAATGCGTTTTTTTATTCAAACCATAATAATGAATTGAAAACAAGAAATGTTCTTGTTTGGAGAATTTGTAACTTAATTATCAGGCATGCTATGATAGCGGCATTAAAAACGGGAAATGTTCTTGTTTGGAGAATTTGTTACTTAATGAATAGGCATGCTATGATAGCGACATTAACAACGGGAAATGTTCTTGTTTGGAGAATTTGTTACTTAATGATTAGGCATGCTATGATAGCGACATTAACAACGGGAAATGTTCTTGTTTGGAGAATTTGTTACTTAATGATTAGACATGCTATGATAGTGGCATTAAAAACGGGAAATGTTCTTGTTTGGAGACTTTGTTACTTAATGATTAGGCATGCTATGATAGTGGCATTAACAACGGAAAATGTTCTTGTTTGGAGAATTTGTTACTTAATGATTAGACATGCTATGATAATGGCATTAAAAACGAGAAATGTTATTGTTTGGAGACCACCAATATTGAATATGTTCAGAATTAGCCAACACCACATAAGTTGCATGATGTAAAAAGATTCCTTGGACTGTACAATAACTATGGCTAACAGTTTACACTTCAGACACATCATGCAGTGCAAAAGTGTTGATGAACTTTTACAATTCAGGTAGCAAGGTAGATCCAGTTACATCAGAAGTAAAATGTCAACATTATGCATCAACCTGGCTCTTGGATGGAACAGTGGAAAAACTGATGCATTATCTCAGAGTCAGTGTATTACCAAAGAATGTAAACACTGTTTACTTGATCAACTGTTTAAACATGCTCAATTACGTTATTTGTTGGCAAGGAGTATCCCAAAAGTTTCATATCTCTGTGGGTGGTGTTGACGAGCTAACTTTCCTCTAGTCTACCAATTCAAAATTATGGACGGCTAGCGCAGATGGCCATCGAGTAGCCCTGCGTGACATTCCACACAACTGTGATAAACAATCGAAAAGCTGATGTTCCCATATATATATATCTTTGTCATACATGATAGAATATATTGTCTTATGTAATGAAACTAAAATATAGATCATGGTAATACATAATTTGGACCTTTATATAAGACAGACATGTTGTGGCCTAGAGGTTATAGTGTGCCAAACTCGGATTTGAGGACCAATGGTTTCCGCCCCATTAATTATAGCAAAAATAAAATAAAATCACGCTCTGAACTTTCGGACTATGAGTGCATTATAAGAATGACGACCAAATCTCACTATCTGGTCAGACAAGAGTTGGCAACGGGTACAGTTCAAAATTCGGAGGGCTAGCACAGAGAGCCCTTATGTAGCTCTCGAATATCGGAAAACAAGAAAAGCAGTTTTCAACAGTGAGGTTTAAATTATTATCAGTTATAATTCTATTTGGAAAGTTTATGGTTAAATGGTTTTATATATATGATCATCTACTCTAACGGAGAGTGGAAATGCACCTGGGATTAGATTTCTGTTGTAGGCTCTTTCCTGTCATTTTTCGGTCTCTTTCAATTTTGGCGGCTTCAGCTTGAATTATGACCCACTAAGCGAAATCAGTTTCTATTCGCCCGTTTGCTGTTTTCGAGATTCGTTGTTTTTTTATAGTTTCAAGCAGTCAGGAATTTGAGTATAATTATTAATACTTTTATGGATTGTCTTTCATTGCCTGGCAGCGAAGTAAATAGAAATCTATTATGGCTGTAGTTGTAGTTTTCGTGTCCCCTTCCCTAGTGGCTCAGCGGTGAGTGCGAAGAGTTATAACGCTAAAAACCGGCTTTCCATGCCCACAGTACAGACAACTCATTATGTAGTTTTGCGCTTTGTTTATTTGGTTTCAATTTCGCGCAAAGCTACACGAGGGCTATTTGCACTAGCCGTCTCTAATTTAGCAGCAATAGACTAGAGAGAAGACAACTAGTCAACATCACTCGGCGCTAACTCTTGGGCCATATATTTTTCACCAACGAATGATCGTTACATTATCACGCTCCTACGGTTGAAATGGCGAGCATGTTCAGTGACGTGCAACCCGTAGATTGTATTGTGAGTTGAACTCCCTAACCACTAGGTAATGCCAGGCCTGGGTTTGTGCTTAACAACAAAATAAACAAACAAGTAGTTATCGTACCCTTATGCAGATGTTTTGTTGGCGTCAGCTGTTCATGAATAAACGTATTGTTACGTCTCCGGTTTGTTAATTGATTTTCC